ACAGAGAGAGAGAGAGAGAGAGAGAGAAGAGACAGAGAGAATTACCAGCAGCAGTTCCAAAGGTCCATAGCCAGAGAATCTTGAGCCCTGGACTCTTGTCTTTCCAGTTCGACATTCTATCTCTCTCAAGGTTTTAGTCCCTGCTTAGCTCTGTTTATTTTCTTTCCTTTATCACCTATCTATAACTATAATGGCCTTTTTAATTTAAGATAAATAATATTAATAATACTATAATAGTACTACTATGCCTGCATATGCACAATTCACAAATGCAAAACATTAACATTAATTATGTTAAACAAATTAGTTATAAAACTTGAGTTTGACTTGGTTTTGAGTGAATTTTTAATGGCTAAATATTTAATTCGGGTTGAATTGGCTGTGTAAAAAAATTCTACGTTCCGAGTAGATACTCGTGGTATACTTATGAGAAAAAATAATTAAAGTTAGCCATAAATAGACACGTTGGTAGTGGGATTGAAAGCTCAAGAGTCATTCCCACGTTAGACTCTTAAATGATATTAAGACTATGTTTGGTAAACAAATAAGCAGGCTTATACCTTATTTGGGTAGCTTATAAGCTCCGTGTATTTAAATAAGTCTCGTTTGGTAGGACGAACTTTTTTAAAAAGCTCGAGCTAATTTGATAAACTTCCTTAGGTAGCTTTTCAAATAAACTAGTTGAATTTTTTATTCGAGCTAGCTTAGATGATTTTACCAAACACTTTTATCATATAAGCTAGCTTTTCAGCTATAAGTCATAAGTTATAATCTAAAAAATTACTAATAAGTTATAAGCTAGCTTTTCAGCTATAAGTCATAAGTTATAAACTAAAAAATTACTAATAAGTTATAAGCTAGCTTTTCAGATCAACTAGCTTATTAGCTAGTTTTACCAAACATAGCCTAGCTAGTTTTACCAAACATAGCCTAACTCTCTCTATTATAATAAAAAGAGTTAGAGAGGTCACAACAACAACATTACTATGCACCAAGTGTTGGTGTTGGCTTCAACCACATGCACGCGCCCGCCCGCCCGCCGGCTCGGCTCGACTCATGCCTTGGCAGTTGGACTGTGAAGTGACCTTGGTCGGTCTAAGGCTTATAATCTTTTACTGCAAATTTATTTTCAATTTTGAAGCCCAAGATAGATAGCAAACCAGATTGGTTTTGGACTCGAGTTTTGACCGAACTCGTGTGACACCTTACAAGTTCAATAACCTGGACGTGTAACCTTTCACATGTCCACCACCTGACCGTTTCAGGGGTATTAGATGGATTGAAGGTGAGTCAACTACAATCATAAGTGGGATGTTGCAAGCTGAAAGGTCATCACCACCTGGCTAGAAGTCCTATAAATAGAACAGTGTATTGAGTTGCAGAACACATGAAATTATCATACGCATTCTTGCACTTTCTGATAGCCTCACGCATATCATAGTGCTCAGTTATCGACTCCACTCAAGTTCGCCAGAGCTCAAAAGTTGTTGTGCTACAGCATTCGAGGCGTCAACCATTGTTTTTTGGGGACGAGACGCCTGAACCCGTCAGCACATTACGGGGCGTATTCGTCTTGCGAAAATAACAAACTCGCCTCGGCTTGTCTTTCCGCTTTCAATTGTAACTTTTGCTTCCTTGTTTATAATTCGAATTGGACGGATTGAAAATTTCAGTTCATAGGTTTCCAGTTGTAATCAAACATATATAGTAACAAATTATACATGGATATATATAGATTTAGAAATGAATTTTACGTCAAATAAATTTTCACATTATATTGAAGCCTTTTCGGTTGAATTTAAAACTTTGAGAAAATTATTCATATACATTAGATTATTTTATTATTTATTACACGACTTAAAAAAAATTATAATAGCTTTTATGTAAGTTATTGAACACTAACATTATGCATAATAATGTGTATTTATTGTATGACACGTATTAGTACACTGTTTCTGAATAAATGTGAATCACTCCATAGAAAAATTGTAATAATAAGATAAATAATTGTAACGAAAAAGAATTACGAAAAATAGTAAGATATTTTTTGCTGTGAAAA